TTTTCTTCTGCTACAACATCGCCCTTTATTACACCTAATAATTTTTCAACTTGCATTGCTTTTGTTTTACAGCCATAGCAGAAACATGAGGCTTTTTGAGGCGAACAACTCTATTGAAGAACTTTTAAATGAAAAAAAAGGTTTTTTTTGGCATACAAATTAATTAGACTTGAGACCTTTAACATACATCAAAACCTATTCTTACACCACAACAATTTGGTAACTTTAAAGCCCAATTTTTCACACGTTGAAATCAATTAAATTTGGTTAAAAGCCAAAAAACTATCTTTTTTAATCACAAATACTTGCACCTTTTAAAGTACGAAGATGATGCTAACTTTGCAAAAAAAAAAAAAAAAATCCTTATAAAAAAGCACTATTTGTTACATCTGTCACGGATACAGAATTTAGTTCTTTAGTTGAAACAATCGACCTCAGCAGTTATCTAAGCAATTTTTTTCCAAACTTTAACCATGTGTTTCTGCCTGGTGCAGCCTCAGAATAACTTATATACATATAATCATATTCAACATTACTACTGTCACTTTTTCTGAAAAAGAACTATAAAAATATATATATATGAATAACTGTTAAAATGTGATTGACTAACAACTAAAAAACTGCTTTAAAAGGTTACAATGGAAGCAAAGTTTGCCAATTTGCCAACAAAATGACACTGTAAAATGCTATCAAATAGGTCAGTGTTTGACGCAGATAGAATATGGCTGTAGAGTCAAAATACATAAGTGATAAGTTTGTCTTTTCGAGAGCTAGATTAACTATAGTTTTAAAGAGCAATACATTACACTTGTCATCCAGTTTAAGCAAACTTACCATTCCGCTAAATTCAAATCAACAGCCAGTGTGATTTTTTCAATTAAAGACAGTTTAATTTTCCCCTATCTAACTGATTTCAATCAAACGGCTTTAAAGTTACCATTGTCAGCAATACAAATTAGTGCATAGAAAAACCAAAACATTTACCGGTACAGTCCGAAAATATCATAGTTTCAGCTGAGAATCAGCAACAACAAAATGATTTTTTCCCTTTCAAACTACGCTGCTATGCACTTATATCAAAAGTGCGACAACCAGTTGATTACCAAACTTTTAAAGCACTTTCATGATTTTTAAAACTTGAAACTAAATTTTTATAATCATCTTCCTTTTTACAACCAAAATCGAACGAACCAAAAAAAGTTATAGTTAATTGTAAAAGTACACGGAACTTGTAGAAGCATTTTGGATAAAGGAAAAAAACCCGTTAAGATCACCAAATATAATTATATTAAAGCTTACAAAGGAATATTCTCAAAACCTTTGTCAACCGAAGATTCTTGTTTTTCCTCTTCTTTTTCTTCTTCTAATAAATTAAGTCCTTTGGCATGATAAACAACAAAGAGATCCGATACAATTGAAAATAATCGTATTAATGAATAGATAAAGTGAGCACGTTGACGTAACATATTAGGATCATATATAGCACAAGCTCCCTGCAACAGCAATTTGCCTTGTCAATTTTAAAATAGTTCTTTTAAATAAAAGTTTCTTTTTTGAACATTAACTCTTTATTGTCCAATAATGGTTGCTTAAAACTAACTGGTCTTCCAAAACACTGCCGGTTCCAAAATATACAAGCGCTGTCAAAAATAGCACCCCATATAAACGGCGACGGTAATGTTGCCAAAAGACTAACAAGAAATCCTTGTAAACCCAATGAAATACTTCTGCTTGCAGGTGGTACAGATCTGTAGTGTGGTGCAATTTGATTTATTTTTTGTTAAGTAAACAGTTAAGAATTTTCATCTGACATACCTTCAACAAAAATATTACTATCAAGAAAAACGCTTGAAATGTAATGCAAAATTAAGTTAAGAAGTGGTGAATGAAATAAAAGTGAAACCTTAAAAGAATGAGCATTCCTGTGACCACACCACTACCAGCCATAAAGGAACCAAGCATGACGGCGGCAAAGAAAATTACTGTCATAAATTTACACCCATCTTTGCAGAATTCTTTCTTTAAGACACCGGTAGGCTCACAGTCACAGTTGAAAAATTCTAACTGATAAGATGACAAACTCGTTACTCGAACCTAGAAAATTTCAAATTGAATTATTTTTCCAAAAGCCGCTTAATTGTGAAATCTGTAATGCAGAAGTGGAAAACCGAAAACGAACCTGCCTACATCCTGCATGACATGGTGAAAAGTAAGGTGTTCCATCCGCACTACAAATTGGAAATAGCGGTGAATCTTGACAGTTGCACTCAGCATTACACGTTTTTGTGTAATTCATATTTGTTTCCCTAAACGTTCGATAACGTTAAAAATTGAATCTATACGCAAAGAAAAAATTCATTTAAAGAAGAAAATTTGGCACAAGGTAAACAGAAAACTTTTTTAATATTTAATATACAATTCAAACAAAAACAATAATTTACGGCAAATTTATTGTCTCGTAAAATACACTCGACGTCTGAACAACTTCTAGTGACAATGATTAACGTCAACCTCAAATAGTAATTACCTATCAGTACTAAGACAAAAATAGCTGTTCAAGTAAGACCTGGCGAGATTTTAGCTTACGACATCGTTAAACTATAAAAACACTCTAATCTGTTTTGCAATGCGAAATTTGAAACACTATATGCAGTTGGGGACCAACACTGCCAAAATAGATTGACTGTGGAATTTAAAAGAAAAACTTTTTGGCAAAGAACATCGCAAAGATCTTTGTACTCTAGTTGCGGAACCGACATGGATGAAACAATTTCTAAAGAGAATCCACATCTGAGAATCGCATTTTAACATTGTCTTTTTAAAAACCGAAGGAAATAAATGCGAAACCAAGTATAATCGCGCTTTGACGCTCGAGTCGCGGAATGCGGACTTTCAGATTAACATACTTTGAGTCTTGTGGCAATGAAAAAGATAGAAATATTTTTTAGCTCGACCCAGACAATTTGATGTAACTGTCAAGGCAACAGCAGCGTGTTGTTTTTTTAAATTGTTTTCGGTTCTTAAAAACTCAAAAAGCTGTTGTCTTCTTCTCCTTTATAATCTATTCCTCATTCTTTCTCATTTTTAATCGTCCTTCTTCGCACCAAGCTTTTCAAGAAAAAAATTGAATGTTAAAATTTTACAACGGCAACTGAACAGTCATACAAACTTCCAAGTTTTACTTTAGTTACTAGTGTGACGACCACATCAGATACCTTACCGCATTTTGGTAAGTATAACAACTTATTGAAAAAATAAGCTTCATCTTCTTTCTTACAGAATTTTTATCGCTTACAACTTTTGGAATGCAGATGTAAAGAAAAGAAATTCGGAGGATGAAAATAGTTCAGGATAGCATCAAACTTTAAATTATTATTGCAGTTTGCTGGAGTAATATAGGTGACTTATCAAATTATTGGAGATGGAATTGGCTTCAAAAGGTCTGTTATTCAAACAGATAAAAGTTCTTACAAAGAACAATTGCATAATTCGCAATTTGATATCAATTACCAGCTTAAATCTGCTACTGTATGAGTACTTTCACACCAGTGAAAAACTATGACAAAGTTCACTGTTATCAAAAGATTTGCCTATGACTGTCACTTCACAAAGATGCAGTTCTCAAACGTACTGTAATCAGCAATTTTCTGAACACTTCAAAAACAGTAATGTCTCAATTTTTTTTGGAAAATATATCCAACTCAGTGCCGGTCCCTCAATAAATATTCTAATCTTTCATTTAAAGTTTTAAAAACCGTTGAAGAAATACCGAAAAAAATAGTTCAAAACTTACATTCCGGCAATTCCGACTGAATTTACAATAGAATTGCAGCTCATAAATGCTTTCGAGAAAAATAATAAAACATTGAAAGATGAAACAATAAGCAGATAAACAGCAGCCTTGCGACCATTTAGCTTGAACTTGCGCATAATTAGTCCACCAGTAACTGTTCCTAGTCCGAAACCAAGAACACCAAACATAGCTATAATAATCGTGATAAATAAGGTTTAAATTGTATTTGATAACTTCTATATTGAAAAGTTTCAGAATTTGAAAAACGATTGATACGATTAGACTGTTAGTAGCTTACCCATTAATCGGTGTGTTTTATACTGCGGAATACCATAATGATTTTCAAGATATTTTGGGAGAAACACCATATAGCCACGGAAAGCAAGCATATCGAGTACTCGAGCCAGCACTGATGCTACATAAACTTTTGAGTGAAACACTTCGCAATTACAGCGAACAAAATCTGTAATTAAAAAACAGTCAACGTAACTATCTCACTAAAATTACTCGTCATAATCTCACGATGCTTTTGTTATTTTTTGTAACATGGTAAATAAGATAAAAGAAAAAGAATGGTGATATTTACAACACGTAGAAAAAGCTATTGAAAATTCAAGATTGGTATATCACAGTAAGACTGAATGTGTTTATATGAGCTAAAAACCAATGCTAAATTGGACCTTTAAAACGTTGCGTATAGCTACGATCTCGACTTTTCACTTTAACATGTTTATCGTATAATGAAATCACTTTTTCTTCTTTTGGATTTGTCATTTTATTAGCAGAGTCACCAGTTACTGAAGGTGATACTGAACCTTTTTTGCTGCAAACAAATTTTTAAAATTACACAATAAGCTTTATTCCAATAAAAATTGCGTTTGAGTGGTTCACAAAAATTTTTTTTTTTTGCTGCTAATGCACAAATAAAAGTTATGCTTTTCTTGAAAGTTGAAGTTCTATTTACACTAGTTTTGCAAAACTTTATCAGTAACTGAATAACTGTTAAACCTTGCTGGAAAGAAGTAGAGGAGACCCGATGGACCAATCAAAAAACCTCCAATTAATAAAAAACCCAACCACCAAGCTCCAATCCATATTGGGTCATCTGCAGTTAAACCCGGTGGAGCTGAAATTTTCAACAATAAGCACAAGCAGTAGCAACACAGTAATTAATAACTTTACTGCTCCACAACATACTTAGCCGTAAACAGTAAATAAGTATTCTACAAGTTTTACCTTTTCAATTTGGTTTTTTTCAGTTGCACCTTATCAGCTTAAACCGAAAAAAGAGCAACTAACACTGACCGGTAACTTACAGAAACTATATTTCAACGTCAACATTAATTCCAATTTTGTAGATAATAACTTACGCAAAAAATTATTTTCACTTTAACATAACGTTTATAATCTGTTTTCGAGACACTGACTCAGCAAGATGTTATATTCCTCGAGTAATATAAAAAGCAAAAAATAAAAAATAAAAAATAAATTCTTTCAAATTTAAGGTCGAAAATTTATTTCATTTACTAGTAACTTCTGTAGAGTTTGAAAAGTCTAATTGACAAGTAATTATACGGTAGAAATATTTCGTAAAGACTTACGTCGAAGCGTAAAATACAGCTTATTACAAAAGCTTCCGATTAAGAAACCGGTAATTGGACCAAGAATTCGAAAGAATGACACACCAGCTAGAATAAAGTAAAATTACATTAATCTTGTAAAAAAAAGTTTTAATTTGTTGGTAAATGTAAAAAATAATGAAGTTTATGTCAAAAAAATAGAAATAAAATCAATATGTCATGAAATATTTATTAATTTTTGATACCAAAATATGTCGGTAAGTTTCTTCGTTTCACATTGTCGTCAATTACCGGTATTCCAAGAGACCAAGGCATTGTTCTGGCAACTCCAAGGATAAGCATTGCAGTCAGTATCGTCAAAAACGGCCCCATATTAGAGGTATTTCGACTACACTTGTCATCCTGTACAAAAAATTTTTTTTACTTTAAATAAAAATTGAAAATTACAATTCAAACAACTCAATTACAAGTAAAAAATTTTTTTTAATATTTAACTTGTATGCCAATACAATTTTTTATTTTGACTGGTAAATGTACCTTTATTACACCTCTTAAATCGTTGATAAGCCGATTGCAGAAAGAAAATGGTGCTGCAGCGCTACGTCTTATGCTTATAAGATCGCTTTCTTCTTCTTTTGCTCGGTTCTGTACATAAGTTTCCAAAAGACTTTTAAGTTTTTCTGAGTCACCATTACCTTTTACGATATTGTTCATTTCTTCAATAACCTGAATCATAATTTGTAATCATATAATTTTTTGATATTAGTACGGTGTGTAAAGCTAACTCAAAAAGCTGCATAAAAAATGACCAAAAAATCTTTCTCTTATTGGTACACTTAATACAAATGCAAATTTTTATCGCAGAACGAGTTCTATAATTGACCAGTACCTGAATAATGATGTCTTCATCAACAGAATACAGATTTGCTTCAGAAGTAACTTCGACAGAACTTGAACGTAAATTTTCAATATCTCTACGAATTCGATCAACTTTTTCTGTATCATCAAAATGAACTAACAGTCGTCTTCTAAGATCAGCCGGAATTTGGTCATAAATTGGTGCAAAATTAATCAAATCCGATATGGAAGCGTTTGTTGATGTTAACTTTGAAGATGGTTTTAATGTATCCTATAAATGTTACAGTATAAAAGCATTTTAATAAAGTAATTACAGAAGAGTAAAGTTTGCGTTTGAGTTAACTGTTTACTGAGAGTAAAAACTGAAAAAAATTATAAATTTGAAAAAAAAAAGAGATTTTTCTATTGCTTATCCAAAAAAAAAAAGGAACGACTTAATGTTTACCTTAAATGCTGTTAAGTTTAAATGAGTTGATTCTGCCGGAAAAAAAAAATTAGGTGAAGCTATTAAAAGGAAGGAGAAAGCAGTCATCAATGAACCCACTGCTATCCATTTAGCTCGATTTCCTCTTGAACCAAAATACGCAATAAATATAACTGTTGGTATATATCCAAAATCACCTAAATAGAAAAAAAAGCGTTTAAAAATGTTGAATTTATAAGTAAAATATTACGAGTTCTCAAGCGACCTCTTCAATAAACAAGTGAAGCTTACTACCATTAGTCAAAACTGTGGTTTTTTTAAGAAATATTTAAATGCACTTACTAGCGCTAACCATAAATCCAGAAAATTTTGATGGTATCTGAAACTGTCGTTCCATACTTTGTATTGCCGTAACCATATAGCTTTGACCGACAGCTTCCAAAAATAAAACAATTGAAAATATTATAAAAAACCAATATATCCGTTCCATATTTATTTCTTTATTGTTGATTAGTTATTTCCTGAAACAAATGTTTTTTGTTGCAATTTTTATTTTTTTAAAAATCAAAAATTAATCAGATTATCAATGATAAATTTGCGTTATCAATAAATACAACAAAAAAAAATTGCTTGCCAAAAAAGTAACAATAATAATAGAAAAAATATTCATACTAATTTAATAACAGTAAATATTTTTTGTGGTTAATTTACAGATAGAAAGGTATATTCCAAATTTGCAAAACGAAAATTTTTGTTTTTTCCTTTTTTGAAGATATATAACAGTCAAATTTTAACGTTTCAAAATTTGTCAACATAAAACTTTAGATTTTTAAAACTATTCAATAGTCTTTGTCTGCTTTCATCTTCTTAAAAATAATCCTAGAAAAACTGCAAAAAAGACTTCTTCTTAAAAAAAATGTGTCTTTTTTACAATCTTTTTTTTTTATGAATAAATAATGTTTTTTTGATAACAATACTGTTGTTAAGGTAATTTTTACACAAACGAACTTCTGAGAACAAATGACTACAAAATCATTTTTCCTTTTCATTCTTATCTTCTTTCATTCTTTCTTTTTCAGAGGGGAAGGAGGCATCTAAAGCATTAATGAAATTCTATTTTACAGCAAATTCTATATTTTTTACAGCCAAAAGAAAAAAAAGCAGGAATAAAGCAAAACAAAATCAGAAAAAAAAAATGAAAGAACAGTTTGAAAAATAAACAGATAAATAAAGCCAGGAAGAACAATATCTTACAAATTTTTTAAATTAAAGAAAATAGCTTAAACAATAATAGTGTGCAAAAATCTGTGTTAACTTTAGAAAAGAATACAAATATACTGTTAAAATTGTAAAAATGAAAATAAATGATATAAAGTGATTGAAAAAACCGAAAAAACTTCGATATCCATACCAAACGTATATTATAAGCATTGTTTAATAAATTCCACATTAAATTACCATAAAGTTAATCTGTTTCTATGCTTTTTACTTAGATGTCAAAAGTAAAAAAAAAAAAAACAAAGCTTGTGTTTTTTTTTTTTCAATTTTAACGTAGATAACCAAAAATGGATTAACGGTTTTTAGATAACAAATGTCAACACCAAACACTGTCGACACTGACAAAATACGTCGAAAAAAGTAACACTGTTCCGCAAGTTCTGTTGATTTTTCTTCCTTATTTTTTTTTAAAAACCTACTTATCACCAGTATCAACTAAGAGAAACCAGTATATTTCTGTACTATACTAAGTAACTAATAAAATAAAAAAATAACAACAATGAATAAAAGATGTCTTGAATTACACCAAAAGAGATACTGCTTGTAATCAGAGATTACCAAGCATTTTCAGTAAATTTTTTTTCAAGAAATATCTTTTGAATAGCTTTTTTGTTTGATACAACAACAAAATACTATAATTAACAACGACAGCACACAGAATACGTCACCTTTTAGCACATCTGTACAAAGAATTCGTTTTTATCCATCTTACACCTTCCTTATTACCGCCATTGTATCGACTTGTGAACAACAGTGTAAAAACTGTTCATATCTATCATTTTAATTTGCATAAATATTTGTTCAAAATGTCCATTCTAAATAGTTCTTTACGTTTTTTTTCCCCTGTTTCGCTTTCTTTTCTTTTATAATCTAAATTTTTGCTCACAAAGCCAGATAAAACAAAAAAAAAAAATGATCGACACTGCTTACAGTAATTACTGCTATTAAAAAAAATATCCCAAACTATAGTTCAAGTAATTCGCTGCTAATTCGCTGCTTTTATACGTCAAAAAAAAAATTTATAAAAAATAAACAAAAAAAAAAAAAAACGTCGATAAAATTTCAAATAGAAAAAATTGATAAATTTTAAAAATACAAAAAAAACTTTTCTAAGTTTACAAAGGATTAAATTTAAAGAACAGAAGCTTAAGCTACAATTAAGCAAAAAAAAAAAAAAAAAAA